GACCTTTAAATAAATATGTTATATCTAACAAACCAAAGCAGCACAAACGAAATTTTTTACAGCACAAACCAGCACAAACGGAGCACAAACGATTGAGACTATTTTGCGACTTTTGCGTTGGGTGGGGGGCCAACTTCACGGAGGTACAGCACCTACACTGTATCAGCCTCCACTGACAGAGACAAGAGCAAAATCACTCCAGCACCTGATTTTATGTTGATTTTAGATTTATTTTCAATTTTTTTGTATTTATGTATTTATTTTACAGTGTTAAAACTGAACACAGTTACAAGGTGAATGATTATAAAGCAATCAAACACACTTGGATGAGAGTTTCTGACATGGTTCTCCTGCATCATTTGATTGATGCATTATTAATTTGGGATTTAATTGATTTCCATTATTTTCAATGGAAAGTCCAAAAACATCCACTAGAAATTTTTTTAGAAAAAAAGCAAGATTAAAATGACAGAAAGATCCTCAAGCATGTTAAACCATTGATTTTGTATTTAATTTACTATGATTTTACTGTGTGTGTGTGTGTGTGTGTGTGTGTGTGAGAGAGAGAGAGAGAGAGGCTCTACAGGAGCAGGAATGAAGAAGCTGCTTTACAGACTCACAGACAAACCTGTTTTACACACGTCACTCAAACACAGAAGCAGGAAACAGGAAACACGTGATTTCAGGGAAATCAAAGAGAAACTGAAGTGTAGTTGAAGCTGTTGTGTGTTTGTGTCTCTGTGTTCATGCAGTAAAATGGCAGAAGCCAGATTTTCTCAGGATGAGTTCTTGTGTTCAGTGTGTCTGGATCTCCTGAAGGATCCAGTGGCCATTCCCTGTGGACACAGTTACTGTAAGAGCTGTATTACAGACTGCTGGGATCAGGAGGATCAGAAGAGAGTCTACAGCTGCCCTCAGTGCAGACAGACCTTCAGTCCAAGACCTGCTTTAGCTAGAAACACCATGCTGGCTGAAGTGGTGGAGAAACTGAAGAAGACCAAACTCTCTGCTGACTGTGACGCTGGAGCTGGAGATGTGCAGTGTGACGTCTGTACTGGAAGAAAATACAAAGCCGTCAAGTCCTGTCTGGTGTGTCTGGAATCTTACTGTCAAACTCATTTTGAGCGTCATGAGGAGTTTCATTCACGTAAGCCACACAAAGTGACTGAAGCCACTGGACGACTGCAGGAGATGATCTGCCAGAAACATGAGAAGCTCCTTGAGGTTTTCTGTCGCACTGATCAGAAATGTATATGTATGATGTGTACGGTTATTGAACATAAAAACCACGACATTGTATCAGCAGCAGATCAGAGGACAGAGAAACAGGTATTTAACACTAGACACTGATGATATATTGCTGGCACTCGTTTCATATGTGTTTATATCGGCACCATATTAACAATCTTTCGTAAAACAGACCTTGATTAAGCAACACAAAATAATGGAGTGAACTATTCACCGGTTCTTTGACAAAATATATAAACTTGCATCAGTCAAAATGCAGAAACACTGTCAGTGTGAAGCTCTGTGTCAGTTTCACTTTTATAATACTTACGCTTGCAGTGTGAAACAGGCCTTAATCTTTATGATAATTCATGTATGATTGTAACCGATCTTCACTTCTGGAGTTTGAACCTACAGCCATTAGTTATCAGCTCCATTTTTACTGCATTCATCTGTTCACATGAAGATTTAGAGCCAGTAGTAGCAATCATTTCTCTGAGCTCTTTCTTCTGGAAGATATATTTAGCTGTAAAACACCACTAGCGCCACCAACTGTTCAAAACTTATGTAACACTTCAACTTTTTCCTCATTTCTCCTTCTGATTTATAACTCTGTAGAGTTTCCAGTCTCTCTCAGCACCTCCTGAATCTACAGACGTAAATGATGATCTCTTCAGTTCTCTCGTCTCTTCTGATGCTCTGAGAGAATCTGTTCATCAGCTGAGAGACAAACTGGAGGATTTCTGCAAAGAGCAGCTCAAGAAGATCTCAGACAGAGGTAAAGTCCTGCAGATTCATCTGCTCTCAGAAACCAGTCCATCATCATCTCATATCATGGAGAACATCATATTAGAAATGTCTTAGGAATGGATGCAGGATCATGAGAATCACACTGTTCATGTCTGTTGATTTCCACAGTCACATTCACCAGCATTGTTCCCAGAACCAGGAACGACTTCCTACAATGTAAGTCAGTAAGAAAAGAAGCAGAGTGTCTTTGTGTTCTTCCTGTAGAAGCTGAAAGAAGAGTTTTATAACTGATGATGTAAATCAGTGGTCACCAACCTTTTTAGGCCCAAGATCCCTGAACTCGGCCTTTATGAAAGACAAGATCTACATATTGAAGAATTGATAGAAATAGACATCCCAGATTGTACTTCAAATTTGAGGCCTTTTACTTAGTATTTTAATTAGTGATGCTCCGATCATAGCTGACTTAGAATTCAGATTTTTTTCTTTCTTTCTTTTTTTTTTTAACTAGCAAATTGGTTAATTCTGATACTGATATTTAAGCAAATGTATTTATTGGCTATTTGTTTTATAACAAACAAACTGGCTTCAAACTAAAATATCTAGCTGTTTGAAATTAGAGGCAACCACTGCATTTTAATCACGATCTGCACGGGCAGTTGTTTTTTATTTGATTTAGATTAATTTCAGGATTTAAAACAAAAAAAGAATGGTCTGACTTTAGGTGTTATTTATTTATTTGCTACATAAAACATCTGCACGAAACAAAAACAACAGGGCTGCGTTCAGCCCCGACAAAACGGTGCAAAACGTTTTTTAAACGGAAACTGTGGTGCTTTCAAGATTCAGAGATTCAAACAAAAAGTAATCAATAAATAGAACAAAATAAAAAATAATAAAGCCTGCAGGTGACGTCGCTAGCGGAACTGCAAGTGTCTGAGAGTGCAAGTGTCTGAGAGTGCAAGCCTGAGACTGCAAGTGTCTGAGAGTGCAAGTCTGAGAGTGCAAGCCTGAGAGTGCAAGTGTCTGAGAGTGCAAGTGTCTGACAGTGCAAGCCTGAAAGTGCAAGTGTCTGAGAGTGCACGTCTGAGAGTGCGAGTGTCTGAGAGTGCGAGTGTCTGAGATTGCAAGCCTGAGAGTGCAAGTGTCTGAGAGTGCGAGTGTCTGAGAGTGCGAGTGTGAGAGCGAGTGTGTGTGAGAGTGAGTGTGTCTGAGAGTGCGAGTCTGTGAGAGCAAGTGTCTGAGAGCGAGTGTCTGAGAGTATCATAGCTGACTTAGAATTCAGATTTTTTTCTTTCTTTCTTTTTTTTTTTAACTAGCAAATTGGTTAATTCTGATACTGATATTTAAGCAAATGTATTTATTGGCTATTTGTTTTATAACAAACAAACTGGCTTCAAACTAAAATATCTAGCTGTTTGAAATTAGAGGCAACCACTGCATTTTAATCACGATCTGCACGGGCAGTTGTTTTTTATTTGATTTAGATAAATTTCAGGATTTAAAACAAAAAAAGAATGGTCTGACTCTAGGTGCTATTTATTTATTTGCTACATAAAACATCTGCACGAAACAAAAACAACAGGGCTGCGTTCAGCCCCGACAAAACGGTGCAAAACGTTTTTTAAACGGAAACTGTGGTGCTTTCAAGATTCAGAGATTCAAACAAAAAGTAATCAATAAATAGAACAAAATAAAAAATAATAAAGCCTGCAGGTGACGTCGCTAGCGGAACTGCAAGTGTTTGAGAGTGCAAGTGTCTGAGAGTGCAAACCTGAGAGTGCAAGCCTGAGAGTGCAAGTGTCTGAGAGTGCAAGTGTCTGAGAGTTCAAGTGTCTGAGAGT